TATTTAAGAGAACATTATACACCTTCACTTGTGACCTAGGCTGGTGTTATCAAAAGCTAGGGTCTATTAGACTTACAGAACAAAGTGAGAGACCAGAAAAAGCTAGCTTCCTAAAAGAATCTGTGCTTCCTAAAACTTCCTTGGTGTGGGGAAATCCATGGCTCATGATCAAAAAGAGTCTTCTTTTCAACTTAAGATGGACCCTTTATTTGCAAGCAAGTTACCAAGGACAGGATTTGATGGCCCAAAATGACCTCTAGGCAAAGGCAACTGGCCCTGTTCATAAACGCTGTCAAAATAATCCCAGCTCTGGCCAGCTTCTCCTTGGCTTTTACACTCTGAAGGAGCCTTTCCCAGGAGGACCCTCCTCCAACCCTTCTGGAAGAGGTGGTGAAGCTGCCTGGTATTAAGTAGGGAAAATGCAATTTAAAACAAGACTCCAGGAGTCTGGCTACAAAATTCAGCTGTGCTCAGAAATGGATGCTTAATGCAGACACCCACTCCTACTGGGTTCTTTGTCAGTGTCAGGCCCTGGGGGTAACAGGAGGCCCTGGACTCTGGGAAGGAGGCTTGGGGAAGGCGGAAGGGGAAGGTGGGAACAAAGAAGCTGAGGCACAAACATCCGTTCGCCAAGACAAGTCATGCAAAAAGAGCAGGAAGAACAAACACTAGTCAATTTTTTTAAAAAAGATGTTTCAGAAGGTTGGGAAGCCCTTAAAACTGGAGACTGGAACATGAATAAGCTAAAAGAATTAAAGGAAATGTTTTAAAAAATAATGAAGTTTAAAGAGTTGAAAGAAAAAAAGAAAACTGGATTGGAGGTTAAAATAGCAGACAATAAGGACTAAATTGAAGTGAAATAAAGATTAAAATATTTTTGACTCAGAAAGTTGAAGGTCTAGTAAAAGAATAAGTAAAATCTGTGAGGTTAAAAAAAAAGAATTTAAAGGTGAGGTGGCAGGGAGTACGAGAAATTGACTATGGTCAGCATGATAATCAACTAGGACGCTCTGAGGTGGACCCAATGTTCTCAGTAAGTCATCTCATACTGGACAGCAAGTTTTGCTCTCTTGTTGAATGAGTAAGCATCTGTTTATTTGGCTAGGGTGTAAGTTTGTGAAGTCTATACTTCGACATAGTTCTTGAGGCCTGACCATTCTCCTTCCTGAATTTCATATTTCATTAGCACCACCATCAGCAAAGTCTGACATTAGAATCAATGCTGTCAATTGATACCAGTTCTGGAAAATGTGGTTAGAACGTGACGTTATTTGGAGTCTATGAAAGTCAAAATTTGTGATATATTCTGAACAAGGTCATTTAAAAATTTATCTTTGTATCAGCTATGATAAAAGACTTGTTAAAAAGTAACAGAACAACAAAACGCGAAAGAACATTTAGCCCAATGTGGTGTTTAAGAACTTTAAAAGCACATAATGAAATTCAGGGGCTATGAGAAATCATTCTTGCCTATGAAGGGATTTCTACATGACTTCTACACAAAGCACTATTTTGATAACCTGGTTCTATAGCTATGAAAATACTATTAAGTAATAAGGGACATATTTTTTGAAACGTCACAATCCAAACATTTTACCATTAGGCCTAACATTCTTTAAATGAGGCTTTATTACTGTCAATTTTAATTAGTCTTTGCTTTGCAAATGTTCTGCCAACTCACTCCAGTTTTTGTATTGAAGGCTCTAGGATATCAGCAACATTGGCTGATTCCTAATTTGTTTGATGTCTCCTATGTCACCATTTCAATTTTGCTGTTTTACTAAAATTTGTTGGTACCTACCCTCCAGTAACTGCCCAGTCTATGGGACATCCAGAAATTATCTAGTTAACCCTATACTAATTAAAATCCAACTCTGCATCTGGTTATTAAATAGACTGCAAGGCAGACCTTGTGAACGAAATTTTTATTTACACACTGTATCTAGAAGCAGATACATAAATTCTTTATACGATTAATTTCCAAAAATGTGCAAGAAATTACTCTAATTTGTTTACAAACCAAAACACGTATTAAAATCAATGGACTTTGGATAATTCATTCTGTGGTGTTCTCAGTACAAATGGTACACACCTGATTTGAAACATACAGAAAAGTGTAAACTACAGCAATCTGGATTGCAAGTATTAATTCCATGGCACTCCAACGACTATAAAATTTCTTTAACCCAACATGTATACTTATTACAAAATTCTATAAGAATTTTTCATCATCTCTGGATGTAGAGTTTGGATCACTTTTCAGAAACGGCAGCTACACATTCACCATGTTATAACTGATTAATAAAAAAGGATGTTTATAAAAAATCTTTACAGGATTAAAAAAGTATTAAAAGAAACCGAATTTGTGATTACTAGCGTACCAATATTTTCTTCTAGAATTTTAAAGTTATTTACGGAACTGGCGACTGTTCCTTATTAGAGTTTTCAACAAAACTGTCTATTGCTGGTAGCATGATTTCATTTTCAAATTAAGACTTCGCATTCGATGAAAAGCCATGAACATTTAAAATACATTACTTTGAATCATTCATAAAGCAAGTATCTCTCATATACAATGTGAAATGTACAATGATCAAACTTGGCATTTCTGAAAGCATTGTTAAGAAAGATATTCAGACTGGTAGCACTAGTAGAGACACTGCATACAACCTACTTAAGATTTCAGTAACTTTTATCCTGTTTCAGTAATACTGGCTCAGAAATTATCATGTGTATATACTTGGGTTTTATTTCCCATATGCCAGTGATTTAGCCTTTTGGCACATGATTTTCTTTAACAGCAAGATGGCTGCCCTGTGTAGCTGGTTTCCTTAAAAACTATTTTTAGTTCTATGATCGTTTCCTGTGATATTTTTTGACCTTCCAAAATTTTCACATTATTGCACCAAACAGAGAACAGTTTTCCTTAGAAAGAGAGAGAGACTTTTTCAAGTACTTTCTATGCTTTCTTATTATTTGTAAAATTGCATAATAGTGTCCTAGTAACACTGGAAATAGCTTCTGGCCTCCATCACGTTTCTGTGATGAGATATTTGATAAAAAGCAACTCTGATTCATTTATTATGGCAGAAAGATACAGCTTTCTTGTTTTCTTTTTCTTGCCTTGAGCTCAGATTTTCAGAAACACATATTTAAGAAATCACTTACAGGTAGTGCCCATGTCATCTAAGCTACCATTCAACAGAATCCAGAAATTCACCCAAATGCTACCTAGACAAAACTACAGGATGATTTCTCTTTTTCCCCTTTCCAATTTTAACCAGACTGTTTTACTACCCTACAAAGCCAGTCTTTCACATTATGTTGTACTGCCTATATGCCAAATGGTTCTCTTTAAACAAAAGCAGAAAATATTGCGACGCTCCTTTCTCTGTTTGTAAATAACTTCTTGGCAAATATTTTTATTTTTACTGATACACTGTCAGACCCTAGCAATTTGAAATTGGATTAGAATAGGGCATTTTACTTAAAAGTATTTTATATTATGAACATAAAAAAGCACATTAAAGATTGGCTTTCTGAATTAGAACAGTATCAAGACTTGCCCCCCATAAAAACACAAAATACAATTTCAAAACCATTTATATGGAAATCAGAATGATCTTAACTTGAAACCAAATGGCTAGATCTTAAACATGGTATCATGAGGAAGGCGTGGGGAACAGGCTATGCCCACATTAAGATGGGGTTCAGGGCAGTCCAAAGACCTCTGTGCACCATGATCTCACAAAGAGTACATGTAAATGCTTCTAGAAACATGGAGAAGCCATCTCAACATTTATTATTAATACACAGTGACTCTGTGACAATACCTGCCATCTAATATAGATGCACAGGGACTTTTAACTCACCCTAGATATATTTTAAATTGTTTAAAAATAAATAGTTTTGCAAAAAAATAGTTTAAATGTCTTGCATTAATTTGATAAGTTTACAACTCTGTAATAGTTCTTAATCCAAATAGCTTACAATGAACACTTAAATTATATTATTACAGTATACTCCATATTCCATCTTATTAGGTGAAAACATATCAGAAAATGAAAGAGGAGTCTTTGTAACAAGGTACAATCAAACATTCCACCAAAATTAAGTACCTTTTCCCCTTTAAGTCAAAATATCGTAACAGATATTATGGCATTGTGCCTTTTCTTGGTAATTCTCAGTTGACTCTAAAAAACAAGAGAGAAAAAAAATGGGGATACTGCTTATGTCTGAATGACAACGTTATTAAATTTGATCTGAGACCTTTACTCTTATTTTTAAATGGGGGTAAGAGATAGGAAAACCCAGGGACAAAGGAAGAAATGTCTTAAATTACATGCTTCATCTGAGAGGGAAACATTTCCTTTAAAGTTTTGTAGCTAGAAACATCTTCTGGATGGAGCAATTCCGAAACACTAAAGAATCATGCAGTAAATAAACACTGCATTTCAAAATAAAAAGTATTGGAGGTAACATACTCCACCCCCGCCCAAAGGACTGACTCAGAAGAGATGAAAAAGCTAATGATGTCAATTACTAAGGACTTGAAGGACTTGAAAAGAAACCTCTATTTTTAGAGGTCAGTATATAAGGTAGGCAAACACTTCCATACACCTGACTGGGTTTTAATATTCTTCTTACATGGTGCTCCACAGTCTCCACAGTCTGTCAACTAAAGTCACTGGGTTTTTTGGTTTTTTGTTTTTGTTTTTTTGGTGGGGGGAAGGAAGGGTCAAATCTAGCACATCTTAATAGTGACTGCATAAAAGAAAAATATAAACCCAACTTTAAAACAATGTTTTCTTTCTATTCAAATCAATTTAAAACTTTATATAAACTTTATGTTGCAAGAGGATCTAGTCCGTTTATGAAAATCATTTCTACATCAAGTTGACCCAAGAAAATGTTGACTAAGCTAAAGAAATCACAGATAAAACATTTTACCAAAGGAAAGTACAGATGACAATAAAACTGCTTAACACCGGAAACTATGATCATCTAGTATTTCTTTAATAGTTCTTGTTCCATTAGGTCTTTATATGTTACGCCAATTTGTACCAGAGTTTAATGACAGAAAAGGCAACAATTTCTAAATTGGTGGTATACATTTCTTTACAATTCTGTAAGGCCATTTATTAAAACAGACAAACCACAAGATGAAAATGAAGGCAACAGAAAAGTCCAACTTCTCACAACCAAAAAAACAGCACAACCTTAAAAATAATTTAGAACTGAATGTTGTAAAAGATATGTAGCAGATCTCTGTCCCATTACCCAAGATTATGTCAGTTCATAATTCTAAATAAATCCTTCTGAAGTATGAAATTAAAAATCATTTTCAGTGTGGGTGTGACTTCTGTGGTTTATCACACAGCTATGTTTACTCAACACTATCTTTGAAAACGGGCCATTGAAAGAGACATAACAATGTTCATTCTATAAGTTTCATTTAACTTTACTTAGGATTGAATACACATGAAATGTGCTTTTAATGCATAAAAATCACAGTGGATAGCAGCAAAGGACTGGGGGCGGGGTGGGTAAGGAGAATCTGATCATTCACATTGTGATTATTCTGCACACTGATGGAAGATAGTTCACTCTTCTAAAACCTCAAGACTTCCCTTTTTAAAGAACCAAAGTAAACCCAAGACACCTTGCCGACACTTCCCCACCCCTAAACGAACTGGTTACTCTTTTACACATAAAACTGAAACAGTATGGCAGCAAAAGATTTTGATAGCAATGGAAAGTCTGTAAACTGTATTTCAATCTCTTTTTCTTCCTCCCCAAGTGCAAGACGCAGGGTTCTCATAGCCTCTCAGTAGTGCTTCTCCTGTAAATAATCCTTCATTTTGTTTGGCAGAGGCAGCTTCTGAATCAGGTCTATTCTGGTGTACTGACGGATGACGAACCGGCACAGGTACTGCAGGGAGCGCACCTGCATGAAGCGCGACACGGGGTTGGTCAGCCTGACGGGGTAGGTGGCCGAGCCCGGCAGGCGAGACCTGGAGTAACAGAAGGCCCCGTTCTCGGAGTCCCTGACCGAGTGCTCGATCAGGTCCACGATAGACGTGTGTCCTTCCACGTCCGGCTGTTCATAAAAGCTAAACCTACCATTTGAATGTTCGATTCTAGTGTGAAGGGTCTTGCCATGCGAGCGAAAGCTCAGGCTTAAAAGGTAACGGTCGTCAGAACTGTCCCGAACAAGGAAAGAGCCATCCGGCACATTGGCCAGCTTCCCTTCTGCCTCCCAGCGAGTGATGGGGCCCCAGTACCATCCCTGTTTCGCAAGTTTCTTCAGCTCCTCCGTAAGGCTTGTCACGACCATGGGACCACTACTCTGCACCGAGTCATAAACTCTGGCAACCCCGGGGGCAGAGTTAGGATCGAAATTCAAGTGACAGCGCATACTTTCGGCCACGTGGGCGTCGGAGCCGGCGAGCCCGCCGAAGTTCCTTTGGATCTGATTCGTCTGCAGGGGAGGTAGCAACGGTGAGAGTGGCGGGGCGTCGTCGGGACTCGCCCTCGGGCTCTGCAGCACGACTCCCGTGGTGCCGATCAGCAAGCCGTTCACCGACTGGTCCACGAAGATCTCTGGGGCCACCACGAGGTCCGGGTCTACCTGATTCTCGTCTTCGGGGAAGGAGCCCCCTCCCACTGGAGGAGGGACCGCGGAGACTTCCATGGGGGAGGAGCCGTCCAGACAATAGCCGCGCGGTCCTTCCAGAGGGTACATCCCCTCCTCCAAAGGCACAGTGTACTGAATGTAGTCCTGAGGCACGAGTCCGATAACGACAGGCACATGTTCTTCCAGGTGGAGATGCAGGTCCCCATCCTGAGACTCGGAACTCTTGAGCGAGTTCGTCTGTTCTTGGCACGCGGTGTCGGCCTGGAGGTCGTGGAAGTCCTTGCGCACGCCGTTCAGGGCCGGGCCCGGGCCGGGCGAGTGGACCAGGGCCTTGACCCTCACCTCCATCTTGATGCACGTCTCCTCCGACGCGGTGGGGCGCAGGGGCCAAGGCGTGGGGCTGTAGTGGTGGCTGCGCAGCGAGGTGGACCTCATGGGCCTCTGCGCCCTCACGTCCTTGAAGACGATGGGGGCGGAGGAGGAAGAGAAGGTGTCCTCGTCCGCGGAGCCCCCGGAGGGCGCGCCGCCCTTGCCCTTCGGCTTCTGTTTCGCAGACAGCCGTCTTTTCAACGTACCCATCAGGCTTTCACTTTTTGATCTACTCTTTCCGCCTTTTTCGTCTTCACTGTTGAGATCACAGCTGGCTATATCCTTCCCATAGCAGCTACCAAATAAGGAATCCTCTTTCCCAAAGTCACTGGCTAGTGATGGTTGTTGTACAACCATAAAATCCGCTTCTTCTTTACTTTTATTCAAGTTGAAAGATTTCCGGAAGGTTTTAAGACTAATCTTCTTCATTCTGACCAGTTACCTAATGCAAGGGAATCAATTTCTCTCTGGAATATTATCCTCGAACATCTGGAGAGGCTGCACGCAATGCTGCATCTATGTATTTTTCCCGCTTCATTTACCCTTTGGAGCCATTTTCTAAAACAATGGAAAAAATAAAAAATGTTAGAAGGTCACATTAAAAAATATTTCCACAAAAAGTTTTATTTTAGTCACTTTTAATCCTTTCGCTTCTGAACAAGGATGCCTGAGTATGTTTCTAAGAAGGTAAGCTCCATTAAGACAGACATTTTTTCCATTTCACATAGCACAATGCATCACTGCCTACTACATATTCAGCACTTGACAAATATGTGATAATGCTTAAAGAGCAAACCCGACTCTACCTCTCTCCTTTCTGCACCTTACTTCGATTTTACCCTAATTATGGTTCGTGTTCCTTACTTCCTAACACAGCTCTAACAGAGCCACTCATCCTCTCCACACTGATCCACACCGTCGCCAGCCTCTCCAGCTACCAAGCTACCAGCCTGTGTCCTGCAAACGGCCAGCACTCAACAAAGAAGGCCCCACATCCGTAACAAGCCTAATCGATTCTACAACAAACTATATGTATTTTTAAATATTCAAACATCTGTAAAAATGAATTAAAGCAGTCCCATAATCTGTGATGAGTTATCTAGGAAAAGCCTAGAAATGTCCTTCTATAGCCATGAGTTCAGCGAGAACAGGGCCCATCCACCTTCGCGTTGCCAGTACCCTGCACAGCCAAGAGCGCCCCGAGAGGGGTACTTGCAGCTTCAACGCTTTCACCTGCAGGGAACACTCCTAACAACTAGATAAGTACAATTCATCATAGTAGTAGAAACTGCATTTATTTGTCTTAACAGGTAGAAATTGGTGACCTGAAGACTCATAAAAGCCTCCCTGTGTTAAGTGATAATTTTCTGGCTCACTAGCAATGAACCCAATTTTGTCCACCAAAAAACTGGGCATCAGTTCACACAGATATTAAGAAAACGTAACTACCAATATGCATAAAACCAAAGGCTGTGAAAACCAGACAAAACAAACATGTTTTGCCGCAACAACAGGGACGTTGCAAAGGAAGTAACGTTTACAATAATAACCGAAAATCAGCAAATTCTCGATAAATGAGATCAATGGATCGGTATCCAAAATGGCTTGTATCTGGTCTGTCTGGAGCGTCACCCCCACCGCCTCCCAAACCCAAGCATGTAAATCTATTTAAAGCTCGACGTAGAGGGTCAGGCCCAGCTGACTTTCTAGGAATGAAATAAAATGTTAATTCAGATTTCTAATTATTAGAGAAATGCAAATCAAAACTACATTGAGGTACCACCTCACATCTTTCTCAACGGCCAACACTAAAAAGTCTACAAATAAAAAATGCTGGAGAGGGTGTGGAGAAAAGGGAAACCCTCCTGCACTGTTGGTGGGAATGTAAGTTGGTGCAGCCACTGTGGAGAACAGTATGGAGGGTCCTCAAAAAACTAAAAATAGAATGACCATATGACCCAGCAATCCCACTCCTAGGCACGTATCCAGACAAAACTCTAATTCAAAAATACACATGCACCCCTATGTTCATAGCAGCACTATTCACAATAGCCAAGACATGGAAGCAACCTAAATGTCCATCAACAGATGAATGGATAAAGAAGATATGGTACATAGATACAATGGAATAGTACTCAGTCATAAAAAAGCACGAAATAATGTCATTTACAGCAACACGGATGCAACTTGAGATTATCATACTAAGTAAAGTAAGTCATAAAGAGAAAGACAAATACCATATGATATTACTTATATGTGGAATATAAAATATGACACAAATGAACCTATCTAAGAAACAGAAACAGACTCCTGAACACAGAGAACAGACTGCGGTTGCCAAGGAGGAGAGAGCTGTGGGAGGGATGGAATGGAAGGCTGGGATTAGCAGATGCAAACCATTATATATAGAATGTATCATAAACAACAAGGTCCTGCTATATAGCATAGGGAACTATATTTAATATCCTATGGTAAACCATAATGGAAACAAATATTAAGGAATGTATATATGTATAACCGAATCACTTTGCTGTGCAGCAGAAATTAGAGCATTTGTAAATCAGCTGTACTTCAATAAAAGAAGAGAAGGAAAAAAAGGTTCAGTTTCAATCTTAATTATGAAGTCTTTTGTTCTTCTACCGCTGTGCCTCGTTTATGCTATTTTCCTCCTCCTGATAAATGTTCTCTTCTTCTTTCCTAATCCACCTTTCAGGGAATTCCTTAAAAAGTATACTTCCTCCTTAAATATTCTCTGATCACCCAGCCAGAAAGGATTTCCCTCCCTTTTCTGGACTCCAAATACTCAACCTGTACCTCTTTAATAGTATGTCACACAGTGACTTAGAACTGCTTGGATTCTATTCATGTCTTATCTCTCCAACCAGATTGTAGTACTAAAAAATAGAGACCATGTCTTATTCGTTTTTTAATATTCCTAACCAGGAACTATCATTAGATACTTAATATACACTGCTTAAACTCTTTGATACCAAATAAATATTCCTTAGCTGTCAAGTAAATGGACAGAAAAATCCACACTGTGCAAAACTGGCTAAATCTCTTCTTATCAAAATAAAGCACTCCATATGGCTGATTCGCTTTGTTGTGCAACAGAAACTAACACAGTATTGTGAAGCAATTATACTCCAATAAAGATCTAATTAAAAAATTTAAAAAAAAGAAAGCACTCTATCTCCTGTAAGAATCAAAAGTCATTATTACAAATGATCAAGGATTGGTAATTCCACATAAAAAAAGCCACACAGAAAAACACGCGTCTATCTGTTAGCAAAGCTCTACCATACGGGTAACGGGTGTCTACTCCCATACTTCACATGGTATGTGTTCAGACATGTGAAAACTACTGAAGAAATTCCACCAAATAAATACTAGTAAAGAGAAGGAAGTAAATATACTAAATAACAACCCCCCCCCCATACTTAGTACCATGTAGTTGTATAAGTACATCTAAAAATAAAAAGTATCTTTGATCTCACAAGTTGAGGCTGGGTGAAAAGTAGCATAACAATGGCATTACCTATATAAGTACTATGCTGTCATCAGGTCCAAAAGAAACATAAGGTTGTCCCCAGTCTCAAAATATTACAGTAGGTGCTACAGACTGTCCTTTCTGCTTGTAAGCTGCTTTTCATAAAGTCCTCTACTGCCCTTTTCCCCTCCCATTTGTAAGATACTCTGCTGGATCCAAGAGGAGTTAAGATGTGTGATTCAAAACTAAGAGATGAAATGTGTGAGCTCCAAGATGGGTGAAAGAAAATGACAGGTACACCAATATGTATAAAATAGATAACTAATAAGAACCTGCTGTATAAAAAATAAAAGAAAATTCAAAAAAAGAAAAAAAATGATAGGAAGAGACTGGACAGACACAATCTGACAGAGTATCTTTAAGCAGTCAACTACGAACATGACCAACGATTAAAAGCCCTAAGTCAGACTAGACTGTAAAAAGACACAGGGGAGGGCATAGTGATTCCTGATTCTGCTTCCTAGCTGCACCCTAACCTGCTGCATGCTAGCGTGTGGGTAAAATTCATGAGTGGGTCTTAGTGGTTCTGCCAATCTGCTGAACTCACAGACCAAATACTCTATGTTCCTTTCTCTACCTGTCACTTTCCTCACACCCTCAAAGGAGTTCTGACCTACAAAAAAGGTCTTGTCTTCAGAGAAAACTCTGTACGTGGGAAGAATGCACCTCAGTGGTAACACAGCCAGTGGCCCTAAGGTCCCGGTACTCACCATTTCCTGGGAGAGGCTGCCTGGGCAGTGCAGACACAAACCAAGTAAAGCAAGGAGGACATGATCGTTGGTGACTGTGACGGATACCATGAAGGAAAGGGAGGCTATCAGAGAACACCAGGGTTCCTACTTTAGGCTCCATAAACACGTAAGAAACGTATCCAAGACCTCTCTGACAGCCAAATATTTAGGCTAAGGCTGGAATGATGAGAAGGAGCCAGTCATGCAAAGGAAGGCTGAGTGAACAACTTTCTAGATTGAGGGAAGAGCATGTGCAAAGGCCCTGAGGTGGGAAACTGCAGATGCAAAACTGACAAGCCCAATGTGCCCGAAGTCCAAGGCGTGAAGGATGAGTGGGCACAAGACAGGCACGGCAAGGTACCTGGGTCTGGTTCGAAGTGCCATGAGAAGAACTAAAAGGTTTCAAATATGAACATGGTCTAGTTTATATATGCACTTCCCAGTTTTGAGCCCACACATCGTCCTCTCCAACACAGACACAAACCCATCAGGAGTGTAACTTTGTTGACAAAACAAACCAAAAAGGCCCACAAAGAACCCAGGGGTCTCAAACTGCCTCATCTGAAAAACAGATGAACAGTTTCTGAATAAAAGTAAGATGCTAATCATGCGGAGCCATTTGGAGATCTCGGGGAGGCTATCTAAGTTCTCCTAACAGGCCACATGCCTCTTAAATTCTTCTAACAATGGATGGGTGGGGAGAGTTCAAGTTCAACATAAAGCACTGGAGAGACTCAAACATGAGTCAACTGCATATAAAGGTTTTATTCATAGCTAGTTTCCATTTGCAAGCAATTCTTCATAATGCCCCAATTTTGTGATATAATTTTAGTGAATTACATTCAATTTCAATTCTGGTAGGAAATAGTTGTAGTTTCAAACCCTTCAGGGTCCACCAGTTATGGATATGCCAGTCAAAAGAAACGTGTGTGTGTGTGTGTAGGGGTGTGTGTGTGTGTGTGTGTGTGTGTGTGTGTGTGTGTGTGTGTGTGTGTGTGTGTGTGTGTGTGTGTGTGTGTGTAGGTGTGTAGACACAGTTAATGCAGCTAGGAACACATACAGACTCATCCCGAGGTTGCATGGAAAACATCTGCAGCACGTGCCCAAGCTTTAGGGTTTCATAACCAGGTAAGTTCTGAAAAGTAGGTTCAGAGGACGAAGAAAGATTCAGAACATGAAGTGGAAAGGAGGCCTGAATAAGCAAGAACACACTGCAGGATCCAGGTCAGCCTATAAGAAGGCAACAGCCTAATCTCCTGCCCACATACACT